GTGTATGACGTCCACAGAGGCATGGCCAGCTCTTTGCTGTATCCACTGATGAACTCCACATGATGAAGTAAACTGTAGAGAGTGTCGAACATCACGGCCGGACGACCGAACGGCAAGTGTGTGTCGTCTGCATGAACACACACACACACACACACACACACACACACACACACACAGTGAAACAACCTGGACTTGAACGTCGCTCCGTGTTTCCCTCGTCCTCCTGCTGCTGTGATAAAACAGAAACCTACTGTAGCTGTAGACCTCCTCTGACCCGGGACTGAACGCCTCCATCACCTCCTCCACTTTGTTCTGTCACAGAAAACCACAACACAGCGTCAGTTCTTCGTCCGACGTCAGAATCTGTCGTGACGTCGCCGCCCGCTCACCCCGACCTCATCGTCGCAGCTGCAGCCCAGGTCGTGCGTCACGGTGACCTCCCCGTCGGACGGCGGCGTCGGCTCCGTCACCTCCTGCGGCATGCTGGGCCGGTGCGGCGGCTCTTTCAACATGTCGTTCAGGGAGCCGTGGGTCCCGTTGTTCGGGGCCGGCTTCAGGCCCAGCAGGTCTGACGCAGAGGGACAGAGGAGCGAGGGAGGAAGGAGTCAGTTTCTTTTACTGTCTGATTCTGAGGCTGGAAACTTCTGAGCTCTTTTCAAGAAAGCAACAGAAATCCTGTGAATTCTGTGTCGACACCGAAATCTAAAAGATTTCACAAACAACACTTTGTAGAATTAACGCAAAATCCAGAAGAAGTTTTGTGGAAGGCTCTCGATGGTTTTCAGAACTGAAACAGGGACGGACCTGAAGGTTCCAGGTTTTTCCGTTGGTATGAAATCAAAGCACTCTCACCACACATGACGTTGTAAAGCTCGATGTTGTCAAACTCTGGGACGCTCTTCTGGAACTTGAAGCTCGGCCCGTGGCCCATGAAGATCGTCTGCACACAAGAACAGCACAGACAATTTCAGTATCGTGGATTTTTATTCTGGACGCAGGTTTTATTTCAGAGGAGAAAGGAAACGTTACCCTCATGCTGGTGATCTTGTTGTCGAAGCCGTGGTCGCCAAAGAAACCACAACGAGACCTCAGCCTCTCCGGCATTTTCCTGAAACACACGTTTTTACTTCTACTAAAGAACAAGACGGTTCTTTGGATTTCAGGAGCGTTTCGAGTGTGAACACATTTTACAACTTTACAGAATGAACATCAATAAAATCTTATATTTACAATGTCGGTCGTTCTTTGTTTTCAAGACAAATATGAAGATTTGATTAAATAAATATTCATATACAAATAAATAAATATCGGGAGTTGGAACATTACTTTGCGATGTGCCACTTCCTCTCCATCAGCAGGTGGACGGCCTCGATCCTGCGGTTGTTGGCGTAGTGAAGCCTCTTGGGTAAATGCTGCTTCAGGTACGGCTTGAAGTGCTGATTCGGCATTTTGCACTAAAACAACAAATAACCAGGTGAACGACCTCGGACTCGTGGTGACAAACACAGGCAGCAGCAGAAAGTACCGAGTACTGTGTGTGTGTGTGTGTGTGTGTGT